TGTAATAGGAAGGGTGTGGCGATCGTCTTGTTGAGGACGTTGCGGCACGCGGTACCTGTAAGGACTGCTAAGGCCACTGTTATTTTTTTTTTTGCCGTATACCGAGTAAGCGGGGATTGGGTCCGGAACCACCAAGTATTACGGCAGGCAGGTGGTGGCCTGACTTGGTAATTGGTGAGTTGAATCGACGTTTTTTTGGTGGAAGGTGTGACGTTGACGTTGTGGGATTTGAGAGTGGGGCACTCTCCTCAACAACCAGCTCGCTTCTGTATTGGTGAGCGGCGCCTGAGTCAGTGGCGGCGTTTGAAAGAGGGTGTGACCCATCCTTGTAAGTGGCCACAACGAGAGTTGTGCGGCCGAACTTTTTTCAGCAAATACTTGGCTTTCTTGAGTGAGCCTTCAAGAAATTCACTCAAGGTCAGTGCCACTCAGCTCCTTTGAACACCCGCGTGAACCCACACCCTGCATGACCTTGCTTTGAATTCAGGGGAAAAGGTAGAGTGAGAGCGTGATGTCATGCGTGTTGAGAAATGGCCGACTTGTTTGAGGGATGGATGAATCTCTGGATTGTTTCTTTTCCTGATTGTGCAGGTAGGTTGGGAGGTGCATGTGAGAAGGAATCAACATTGCTTGCTCAAGATAATAATGAGGATGCTTACCTTTCTCCCACGCGACCTGAATGCATGTGAAAGAAAAGAAGAAAACCAAAAATAATAATAATAAAAGAGTGAACAGGCGGGTGCCGAAAGAACGAAGGCCATGGAAAAATTAGAAGAAGAGAAGACAAGGGAACACCTTAGTATCTTCCCAAGGACTTTCCCATTCTATCCCGAACGACCATCATCCTTCTATGCCCGTCTAAAAATATTTTACTTCTTTCTCTTCCTAATTCGTCTAAGTCGACCCTTAGCCGGGAAGCGTAGAGCGGTCATCTGCACACAGGGTCTAGGCTTCTTCTCTCTAGGAGGCATCCAAGGCGGAGGTTCATTGCCTTAGGGGCCGGCCCAGTTACTGACTCGGAGCGGACCGCTTATGCGGGGGGATACCATGCTGTTGCGGTGGAGCCAACCCAACTTCTGAGTCATGAACAATGTGTTCGGGCGAGGGGGAGGGGTATTCCAGACCACTTCCTAGAGGGTAGGGGGTCTTGAAGCTAGGAGCAGTCGCCTCCTCGTGCTTTCGGGGAAAGGGGAGGTTGAATCTAGTACCCTGCTGGGTGGCCATATTAGGTGTCACCTACGTGTGGGAGGGCTGGCGCCACAAGAAGCTCAGCCCGTGATTCAACTAGTGTTAAAAGAAGTGTAAATAGGCACTACTTTCCCGTATGGACCGTGACACAAAAATCACGGCCCGAAAAGGGGAGTAAGGATTGAACATGGAAATGAGTATATCTGAGTTATTTTGACAAAGTTACCACTTCGTCGTCCAGATGCTTGCGGAGAAAGTGATTCTCCGATTGTTTGGCACACGCGAGGCGGCGGCTAATTGGTTAGCGGTGCCGACACGATCCCACTCCGGCATGACACGGAAGGGAAGGCTGGTGTACAACCCTCTACAGGTTTACTCGGAACGGGACGTGCCACGATTCTGGGAAGGGAGCGCGAGGAAACCACCGCGGAGTTATATTTTCTTGGTCGAGCCAGGCCAACATATAGTACGATATGACTTTGCGCCTCCTAATCCATCACGAGATTATGGAGGCATGAACTTAGTTGTGGTTCACGAGGACTATCCAGAAGTAGAGAACATTCCTGAGGTTAGAGGGATGTTCCTCCATATTGTACTTCATTTGAACGATTTGCATGGTCCGTTCGGCCTCGTTCATCATGCGAGACGGATCCGAGCGAATAAATTTAATATCATTCGCTCGGAACGTTTCGACGTCACCACGTTTTATGACGAGGCTTGTGAAATTTACGAGCGCCTCTTCTAACAGGTGGCTTCTTCGGTATGCAGATGCCCAACGGACGGCGGGACTTCACTCAGGCCAGATACGTACTGATTCGCGACACTACGGACGAGGAGCTGATCTGGCGAGCGGAGCGAATATTACTGGTTCGAGATGGAGCGCCCACGCGGTGGATTGGTTTTATCGGCCTGCTCAGTGATGGGCAGGGATTATTTCCCAACTCGCGCGCGGATGTTCGGGCCAATATGGCCCGACTTCCGGACGAAGTTCATGGATATACCTTGTACTTCCATCGCGCGAGCAACCTTCAATGCCTCTCTCGGGTCATTGTGAGCGTCAAAATTACCCTATCCGCGGAGCGCTACGGCGTCATCCGGATTAAGGACACCACGACCACACACCTGTTTCGGATGCGTCAGCCGTTCYGCGCCATAGTCTGGAAKCTCGCCTCACGGATGGCTTCCCTCTATGATACGCGGAAGGTTCGAGTCTCKYGGGGTGGACGCGTCTCCACCTTGACTTTTGATGACGAGGAGCTTACGCGACTCGACYGGATAGAGGCTGAGGCCCRTGAGGGCCAACAGGTTAATCCTGGCTGAGCGCACCCTCTCGAGTCCGGTGCATTGGTAAGTTGTTCTTTTTGTAAGGCCATATCTTTGTGACTCTACAARGGTAATAATAATAAAAAAAAATAAAAAATAAAAAAAAACAATTTTGCGTAGGTAGGCCAACCAGATGGATCGTATCTAGATTGCCCCGATGATAGCACTATCATGCTTAGGCATTGAGGGGTAATCGAGCACCTAACGATAAGCCAGATAAAGTGAAGGTCGAACACCTGAAAAGATGTTGAGCCAAAGGGCGAGGGCGAAGTATCAGGAAACGAAACATTCCCATGCCGAGTATCTGGTGTTGAGGATGGGTACTTCGTCGTTCGTGGACCAGAGAGAGTAATTATTGCCTAGGAGGACAAAGCGACGAACAAAATTGTCGTCCACTCCTCCAAGCAGATGCATGCGGTACGACAATATGGTCAAACCGGAAATTCAAACCTCGACCAGGAGCCAAATCACTTTTTGATCTGCATGGTACCGGCGGTATTTAATTGTAAAAGTTGTGCGCGACGGATCTCCCGTCTTTCAACGGCAGTGCAACTGCCTCGTCGGTCACATAGGCAGGAAATGATAACCTTGGCAGGCCATCTCATCGAGTCGAAATGTACTTTATTTATTTTATGAGCAAGGGATCATAAAGGGACTAGGATTATATGATGGGGTTCACGTTTGGTCGAGGCTGTCCTAGTCGACCGACGCTCGTTCGTACCGAGGAGATCAGCGCCATCGGAAACGGACAACGTTCGGGTCCACTTGGCGTTAACCAAGCGTACCTATACTTCAGCGAACGAGCAAACGCCCTCAGCTGACCTACCTCTGCAATTGCATGTAAAAGCTTTCGCACGTGGGTCAGTAGCTCTGTAGGGATATGCCCCTGAGGGTGGTGACAGCCCCTCAGGGAAAGTAAGTTGTGCCCCGCGAAAACCTATCCTGTCGTAGGGGACCACGGGATGTACAGCTGGCGCACCCGGCTAGAGATGCAAAGGGACAATGCAACCACGTCCATCTCGGCGGTTCGCGGAATCACTTATGCATTGTCCTAAGTTGTCTCTTGATTTTGTTTTGTTCTAGCTCCTGCGTGACATAGCCGGGAGGGCCCTCGTTTAAGCGAGAGCCGATGCGCTCGACAGGTGGCGTCGTTGTCGGGGATGACGGCGAATTACCGTTGTCCCTGGTGGAATGACACTCGGGAAAAAGATGGTTATAGCAATTTTAAGTGTTGTATGTTGTTTGTTTGGATTAAAAATAGTCACTGGTTATCAATGTTTGGAAAAAAAAAAAAAAAGACAAGGTTTGGAGTGAATTGTTGGAATCTCTTTGACACTTGGACATGTGAGTTTGTCGTGTTGATCCTCTCAAGATGACGGGAGGAAATGCTGATCCCACAAATAGTAATGCAGGGGATCGTCGCAACGATATTCTGGAACTCGCACGAGCCATTCGTGAGGCTGATAATCAGAAGGCACAACTGCCAAAGGTTCAAGTTCCCCTCTCCGATGGCACCAATGCCTCAGCATGGGCGGACAAGTTTGAACAATTGGGCAGTTGCTGCGAATGGTCGAGTGAGAAGATGCTTCAAATGGTGAAGCGATATTGAATGGTCGAGTACAAAGAGGAGGTGTCGGAGTTGGTACAAGCTTCGCACGACTGGTCGGACTTCAAGGCCAAATTATTGGACAAGTATCAATTGGGGGATCAACTGCTTGATCTGGCGGATTTACGGAAGGTTAGTCGTCGGAAGTTTGGCACGGCCAAGCAGTTTCTTACGGAGTTTGAGCGGGTTGCGCGCTTAGTACCCGACCTTCCGGATAAGGATCGGTGCCTCATCTTCCTTGAAAATTTTTCGAAAGTTGATCAGCGAGAACTGATGAAGGATATGACCGGACGATACGACTGGCCAAAGATCAAGGAGGATTTATTGGCTGGAAGTTTCGACCAGATGCTTTACCGTCTCCTGAAGCAGCAAAAGGAGGACCGTGAGAAGGAAGGGGTAAGCGCGGACAAGGATCAAGCCGTTTACAAGAACCTGACTGACAAGCGGAACATGATGGCGGATATGAAGGAGGAAAGGCTAAAGCTACAGGTGATGATGGTCCAAACAAAGGGTGGAAAAATGAAGGGAAAAACTCCCGTTGTGGAGGAGGTGAGTAGTAGCAGCAGCGAAGAGGAAAATGAGGAGGAAGTGGAGCCCGCTCGAAAATTGACCAAAGCAGAATGGAAGGCCCTGAACCAGATACGAGGAAGCCAGGGCACTAGTAAAAAGCAGCGGAATAATAATAGAGGAGGTGGACAAGGAAGTGATCAGGAACAGGCGGCGCAGACCCCTCCTCAGCAACCCCAACCTCAGGCAGGAGGCCGAGGCCGAGGTCGAGGTAGAGGACAAGGCAATGGAGGAGGCCGCGGAAATGGGGTCGGCCGAGGCAATTGGCTAAATTGGTTTTGCAAGTATTGTGGCCAAGTTGGACATGGGATACGGTTTTGTCAGACCGTTACCAAAGATGAAAACGATAAGGTTATATATACGAATATCCGAGGCGAGGTCTACGACTTCGAAGGGAATCTCATCGATCCCAATGTGGAGGAAGGAATGAGAAAGGAAGCTTTCCGACGCATGGGGCGAGATCTTCCAGCAACCTTTCGACTGGCTTCTCCGGAAGAAGTCGAACAGATTGAGCTGGAAGCGACGATGGAGTCATTGAAAATTGAGGATGCCAAGGCCGGAGATGAAGGGTTGAGCAAAGAGCAGGAAGAGATACTGCAGTGAGCTCAAGCAGTGGTCAGAAAAATGACTCGATGCAGGGAAGCTTTTGTTTAAATATGCGCCGACATGAACGAAGAATGGCCCGGGTTTCCCCAAGTCTTTTTGTTTGGAGGATGGGACAGAGACGGCCAAGGAGGTCTTACTGATGGTACCGCATCACAGTCTGGATCGTCGTCGGCAGGGCGTTTGATGACCACCACAATCTTGTCCCGTCCTGCTTTCAAGCGACCTGCCACAGCTGGTCTCCCACAAACTCGGAGGGCTCGAAGGCCGTCGCGGCGAAGGGCAGCACCGGAAGAAGGGTCAAGTCAGCCTTGGGAAACCGAGACGATTTCGATTGAAGAAGACGATGGCGAGGAGGATGAATTGCTGCGAGTCGAAGATGAGAGGCAGGCCAAACAACGAGCCATGGAGAGGGAGCCAGAAACGGGCAAGGCCGACGTTGGGGAAGGAGAATTGAAGAAGAAGAAGCAAGTTTACACAATTCCAGTGGAGCAAGGGCTAGATATTGAGCAGATCGTGGACCGGATTTTGGAGAGTCAGCGCGATTTGTTCACGCTCAAGGAGTTCTTGGCCGCGTCGCCCAAAATCCGAGAGGAGTTCAGACACCGACTGTCAAGGAAAAAGGTGATGACGGTTAAGATGAGTGGTATCTTTCCTCAAGAGATTAGTTGGGCTCCGCCTAGGACAAAAATTGACTGACACTGTGTAGCGACTGGGTTGTTGAAGGTGCAAGTTGGGCCGTGCGAATACTCGGCTCTCATCGAYGATGGGGCTGAAATGAACATCATACGTGAAAGAGAAGTCATGGGGGCAGGAGTGAACATCAATCGAGCGGATACAGGATTTCTGGTGGTTGCAAGTGGGATAACTCCCTTTTGCGGAACAGCGAGTGACGTGACGGTACAGGTTGGTAAAGTCAAAGTCCGTTCTTATTTGTATGTGCTACCCAGGGTTGAGCATGCCGTGTTGCTGGGCAGAGCTTTTCTATGTTGATCAGAATCCATCATCTTTAACAAGCACGATGGTACTATGATCGTAGTTTTGTGTGACCCCGTATGTGGCTATTACGAGGTGCTGAAGTGTGAGAACACGGGACCAACCAACTCAAGGAACCGACTCAATCCAGGGTCCTACTCTTTCACGGAATCCGAAAGATTCAGAAGGGAGAAGGAATCCCTCGGAGAAGAGAGTGATCCCCAGGAATTTTCTCTTGCTCTACCCAACATCTCTCAAGCAATCGAGTTCGTTGCGACAGACTGGTCTGTGGATCCCAAGTTGGTCCAAACATTGACAGAGATTGTGGCAGGAGAAGGCCGGACTGGTAGGATGTATCTTACCTATCGGCCCGACAGGTCTTCTGAGGGTGATGCATTGGCGGAGCCAGAAGCCAAGCAAGGGTCTTTTTTAGAGGTGGACGACTTGGAGTTGGAGCGGAACGTAAGTACAAGAGAGCAGGCGAGAAAGCTCGGTCAGTGCCCGTCTTGATCACGCAAGAGGAGGAAGTGTACTATAAAGAGGAGAGAGAATGAATCAGGATGAGGAAAGAAAAGAGTACGAAGACGCCATGTCGATTGACGGAGGAAAGGATTAAGAATATGATCGTTGGAGAGGAAGGGTCTCTTACTGAGAAGGAGGTGGACTTCCTTATTAGCATCATGAAGAAAACCCATCTGGCTTATGTCTTCGATGATGATGAGCGAGGGAGGCTTGATGTTGACCTAATTCCAATGATCAGGGTTCATACGGTACCTCACGAGCCGTGGAACATACGAGGTCCGCGTTATCCAAATCCGGATGATCGTCGTAGAGTCGTTGAATATTTGGATGGTAAGATTCGGACAAAGGTCGCGGATTACTCATATGGGCCATATGCATCCCCTCGGTTTTGATTCATCAAGCGAAATGGCGTATTGCGATGGGTGAAAATTTGCAGAAGTTGAACTCAGTAACGGTTCGTGATGCCGGAGGACTTCCACATGCCGATCAGCTGTCTGAGTCATGCGCAGGCATACCTATCATCACTCTCATTGATTTGTACTCAGGATATGATCAATTCCCTCTCTACTCGGCAGACAGGCCGATGACGGTCATGCATACGCCGAGGGGATTAATTCATATGTGTGCGGCGCTTCAAGGATGGACGAACGTCGTAGCAATTGTTCAGAGATATATGATAAGAGTCATGCAGCCACTTTCTCCGGACGTGACCTCACCTTATATCGATGACTTGGCCATACCTGGGCCGCGCGTGAAGGATGAGACGGAGGTGCTGCCAGGGGCTCGAAAGTTTGTTTGGGAGCACGTTCGTAACGTGGAGAAGGTCCTGTCCAAGTTAAAGGAGTACAACCTCACCGCCAACGGTGTCAAATCTCGGCATTGTATGCGTGAGGCAACTATCTTGGGCTTCTTGTGCAATGAGAAGGGTCGTCGGCCAGATTCCAAGAAGCAAACAAGATTCTGGAATGGCCGACCCCGCTTAAGTCCATCACTGATGTGCGCAGTTTTTTGGGGACTTGCGGATTTTGGCGCATCTTCATTCGCAAGTTCGCCGCAAGGGTGGAGCACCTACTGAAGTTGGTGCGTAAAAATCAGGAATGGGAATGGGGTCCAAAGCAGCAGATGGTTGTTGACGACATCAAGGCACAATTCCGAGGAGGATTGATCCTGGGGGTTCCGTGCTTTGACAATGACCCGAATCGGCCCTTTGTGGTTGAAACGGATGCAGGCCCCACAGCATTGGGTGGAGTCCTCATCCAAAAGGATGGAGAAGGGCGAGAAAGGCCATTGAGATTTGAAAGTCGAACGCTGAATAAGGTGGAACGGAAGTATTCCCAATTTAAGAAGGAAACCCTTGCAGTGCTTCATTGCTTCAGGATCTTCCGAAACTACGTATGTGGAAAACGGTTCGTCCTGCGGGTTGATCCGACCTCCCTTGCGCAGTCATTGAAGAATTATTCTCCCTCGGATCCAACTATTGCTGGATGGTTGATCTATATCTGCATGTTCGATTTGGAGATAGAGCGTATTGTGGGAACACAAAATCGAGCCGACGGACTGAGTCGGATCGAGTGGGACTCCTCGAAAGATCAGGCAGAAGACTCGGTCCCTGTGGATGGGTTTCTGGAGGCGGACGAGCAGCGATTAAGTATCAATGTTTGGGGATACATCAGTAATGCGTCGTCCCGACCTGGAAAGTCTATCTGGAGTTCGTCGAGTTATTATCAAAAGTGTGCAGAGCTGGTGATGAGGGAACCCTTTTTTGAGGAGGATCCTTGGGGTGAACGGTCTGCTGAGCGGATGATGAGGTTGGCGTTGTCTGACCCAGTACAACTTTCGGAAGAACCTCTTACGATTGAAGGGGGGCATGAGCAAGGCGACGAAGTCCTCAAGATTTTTGGGGGAATGGTGTTTCTTGTTAATTCGTTGATACAGGAAGATCACGGTAAGTTAATGTTGGAAGAAGGGGAAGGCAGTGAGATCAAAGAAGCCTTTCGTGAGGAGGAATATGATGAGACTTATAAGAAGATTGGGCTTTGGTTGAATGGGGACTTGCATGAGGCAGAGATAGAGCCAGAAATAAGAGAAAAGGCAAAGGGTTTTGTCGTTCGACAGGGGCATCTCTTCAAAAAGTCTGACGATGGTACGCCAAAGAGAGTGGTGTGTGGGGTTCCCCAACAGTTGGATGTGATTGCGGCCCTACATGATGGAGTGGGGTGTGGACATCGATCTGCTCGAGTGACATTAAGAAAAATTCAACATCTCTATTTTTGGGATGGTATGGGTAAGATGGTGGCAGAGTTCTGCAACTCATGCGTCCCCTGTCAGAAACGTTCGAATCTCCGCTATGCTGAGCCACTTAATCCATGATATGTGGTTGTTCCAGGTGCGGTTGTGCACCTCGACCTGGTCGTTATGCCACCCGGACTTAATGGGTACAGATACATTTTTGATGCGAGAGACAATCTTACAGGGTTGTTGATGGGCGTGCAATCCGTGAGCAAACTGGAAAGATTTTGGCGGAGTGTATCGAAGAGTTTTACCTTCGGTACCCATTCGTTCGCAAATTTGTGATGGATCGAGGAGGTGAATTTCGGGTAGAAGACGTTCAGGCTCTTATCAAAAGACTGGGAGTGAACTATAGTTACACCACTAGAGCACATCCCCAGGCTAATGCTCCGGTCGAACGTGGGCACGCCACCTTGACTAATTTGCTAGCCAAATGGTGTGCTGGCAATCCGTCAGCATGGCCCGTCTATCTCAGAGCTGCCATATTTGTTGAAAACATAACCGTAAAACGGACTACTGGGTATGCTCCGGTTACGTTATGGTTTGGGCGACATTCTACATTTCCAATCGAGAGTTTCCTGACTACATGGCAAAAACAGGATATGAAGGTCATGCTTTCTACAGAAGAGTTGCTGGACCTGAGAGCCAGACAGATTAAAGTTACTGAAGAAAGAGTTGTAGAGGTCACGGCGTCAACTGCGGACAGCAGACGGGCATACAAAGTTAGATGGGATAAGCAACCCATGTTAGAAAGGAACCATTGGAAGTTGGGGATATTGTCCTCCTCTATGACTCTTCTCTTGAAAAGCAGTGGTCGAGAAAATTAGATAATCGATGGATGGGACTGTACCGTATCATTAAGAAAACAGAGCACGGAGCATACGAGATTGAGGAGATGGATGGAGCACGTGGGCGAGATTGGGTTTCAAGCTCACGCTTGAAGAAGTTTGTTCATAGGGGTTAAAATAATGCCTTACTTTTCTTATCAGACATTGATACCACTAACTAACTTGATTTTATGATTAAGTATTTGTAAGATATATTTTCCATGCAATGGATAGATACATATGGACTCGTGATGGATTACTTGTTAATGTCATTTTTGTCATTATTCTTCGTTCTTGAGCAAGATAATTGATGTGCATAATAATTTTTTCAAGCCTTATAAGGATGATTCTCTGAGCATACATCTCTTTTATTTCTTATGTGGAATGAGTTTTGCTTGTGAGGGATTGATTTGAATCATTTGTGCAAGGTCATGACTTAATGTGTAAAATGTGTATAAAATTTTAAAACATGTGACTTCCTGAACAATTAGTATTCGTTCCATAGGCACATGGTTTAATAAATATAATAAGTTTATATGTAATACCTAGTCCTTATTGTGTCTTGATATTCCTGAAAGATGTGAGCCTTGTAGGTGGTAGTGAGGCTCGTGCCGGAACTTGGTTCCTGGTCCACAACGAGATGATGTCATTTTCCTTGAAAAAGGGCGATGGCTACACTATCTCTGAAAAGGAGGATGGTGTCGTAATCCTGTTGACACCTCGCCTATGGTGGGGAGCGATCGCTGCTTATCACAGGGGTGGGGTTGGTCGTCTATCCTTGTGATATGCAAGGTCGCCGCGTCCTTATGATCCTCGTCTGACCAACTAGGACTATAGGGATGGGGTTGTCTCGCCCTGTAGACGTGGCATTGACAGGGTTGCGATACTGGAATCGGAGGGAATGTGATGAAGCTCGAATTTAAAGCGGGGCTTGATGTCGAGATGTTATCCTTTATGGAGGATTACACCACTCCTCGACGTAGTCACATAGAGTTTGGGGGTATTAGGACACAATCGGATAGGTTATAGAACTCAGGTAAATGACTTAAATAAAAGGTTATTGTATTGAATGGCTAGTTCAGATCATGTCTGAACGATTATCATAGGTTGGGTAATGGAGGCTTGTAAGAGGTTATTCCTGACTCATTCAGGGAACTAGCTGAAGGTTAATACGGGACTTCCAGAAGGGATGGTGGAAAGTCGGAGCCTTGCTATTATCATCCCCGACAACCGTGACTGTAGTATAGTACGAGTATCCTTGTGTTACGTGGGAGGTCCAGGTTAAACTTCTGGCAACACGTGAGTGTGTTGAGGTGTTGTGGATGCATCCCCATGGACATGAGAGACCCGGGTAAAATTCCCGGCGGTGATGGTTGCTTGCCCAGATGATTAAAATAATGTTTTCCAACCAAATGAATTTTGTTAGCCAGAACCATGAAAACTAAGTCCTTTCAAATTTGGGCTTCCAAGGGCTGAATCTGGGCCTGAGTTTCAAAATTTTGGGCTTCCAGGGACCGAATCTGGTACCCAACCGATAAATGCAGAATGATTGTAAATTTTGGGCTTCCAGGGGCTGAATCTGGGCCTGAGTTCAAAATTTTGGGCTTCAAGGGGCTGAATCTGGTACTAATCCGATGAATGCAGAATGATGGTGAACTTTGGCTTCGAGGGCATAACTCGTTTAATAGCAAGGGGTCCGTTTTTTCGGATATCCCCTGTTATAGTATCTATGATTTTATTAAGATTAAAGGATACTAAGATAAGTATCTGCAAGATTTAATATAAGAAGAACACCCCCCACGTGAAGGACATGGAAGTCGTTCAATGGGGCCCGGGAATGTTGTCGGGGCAAAAACCCTGACAAGGGTATCTGCCCGTGTTTTTCAACGTCGGACGCTATCTGACCTTTTCACTTAATTAGACAACTTGATGAGATTGATGTTGCCAGAGTTTATCCAGACCAACGCTATGACAGAAAGACTTGAACTTTTTGAACCTGACCGTCGACGCAGGACGACACCAACATCCGTGCGGGATAACGGGGGTTTGCACTGTCGTCCACGGGTTCCGAAGAGGCCGCGCTGGTGTGCGATCGTGAGAAAACTGAAGTTAAACCTAGTCTACTTATAATAAGGTCGCGAGGCTGTTAAGCCGCGCGATTCAGGGCCTAAGCGGGTCAAAAAGGGGACGCCGCGACGAGATAGGATCGAGGCGTGGAGGAACGGTTTAGGGTCCATAGGGCTTATGTGCCGGGGACTCGGAGGCAAAGGCGTTGAGGCCAGCTGGATAGGGCAGCCGTTGAGGCCGTTGGCTGCCGGCCTCGCCTGCCAGCCGCGGTAATAGGCCGGCTTAGCAGGCGTAGCCTGCTAGGCACCAGGAAGGGACCTGCTGGGCATTGGAAGCCCTTCATATAAAAGGGCTGCTCCTTTTCTGATGTGAAAAGGAGCTAGCCCAGTAGGTACCGTCGCCAGATTGTTACCCCGCAGACATGGGGATCGAAACTGATTAAATCACTACCGGCCTATCTCCCCGCGATTAGACAAGGGGTACGGCCGATTTTCGGTCGTGCGATCTTCGAGATCGCGCGGTTGAAATCAGCC